GGTGGGATGTGTGTCGAGGTGACTCTGGTCGGGTGAGGGTGGGGGTGGCAATGGGCGGCCTCAAGGGCGCGTCTGAGATCAGCCCGCACCGGGCGGGGCACTCTTAACGTGGTGTTTCCAATACGTGCACTCAAGAGGCTCGAGGCTGGGCATAATGGATGGCAGGTAGGCTGCGGTCTCCTCCGCCTAATCGCAGGTATGAGGCCCGCTGTTTGGCAACCCTCCTTGCCCCCCGAAAGCACCAATAAGGGCGAACACAAGCACACATGCAAACAGCGCCATAAACAAACTTACATGAACCGCTCACCCACCTGCGCACACACACGCACACACACACACACACACACACAGACGCGCGCGCGCACGCGCTTGCCCAATCAACCCGTGCACCTGGGGGTGGCTGAAGTCCTTGTCGATGACGATGCCCTCCACCAGCCGGGCGTCCTCCATCTGGCCACCCACCTTGCCCTCGACCTGGGGGGAGGGGGGGGGATGAGAGGTTGAGGGACGGGCGGAGGGGCCAAGAGTGGTGGAAAAGGTGAGAGATCCAATGAGTGGCGGAAGGAGAGGTTGGGGGAATGCTCGGGAGAATTATTAGGGAGGCGTGACCTGGTGTGCGATCGTGACATGGCCGGTCGGCGGGATAGAGGGGCAAAGGCAGGGGTAGTTGCGCATCGAGCGGCCAATGGCCGAGACTCGCGGAGGCGCGCCGTCGGTGATCGGCATCCCTCCCTCAAGTCCAGGCCTGGCCCTGAAACGTGTCCAGCCAGCCGCCAGACCGCCCTCCCCCAGCAAGCCAAGCACCCGCAGTCGGCACGCGAGCGACCCTTCATCACACAACCCCTGCATGACCGCGTGCGTCAACCCTCACCTTGATGAGGTCGAGGTTGACGTCCCGGCGCTCCAGGTCAGCAACTGCAAGCACTGCCTTGACGCACATCTCCGCCATGGGGCGCTTGAGGCGGCCCACACTGAGAAAAGGGGGGCCGGTGCAAAGCATGTGATTCAGCAGCAGGGAAAAAGTCAGGCCGGGTTTGGAGGGAGCAAGTGCAAGGCTGGCGGTACAGGGCTGATGCTGGCTGCTGCCGTGCGATGGCATTGTGGACAGGGTATTGCCTGGCAATGCGTTAAGTCGTATCCCCCGGGGTGGGTGAGAAGGGTGCTGTGTTGCTGTGGCAGCTCCAAGGCCAAGCTCTATGTGTTGAGGCACTTGGCACACACGTGGCACGCCTGCGCTCCGTCAGACACCACACTCATGTTTGCGCTTGCACAAGCTAGCTCACACGCAACCTCGCTCCCACACGGTCACATACAAACTCTCAGTCACAGACTGCATTTGTGCAGTCACTTCCCACGCACGCCCCCCGCTGCATCATCCCCCCCCCTCGCCTTCCCTCCCTCCTCACGCTCACGCACCCCGCGGGACTCACACTTTCGAGGAGAGCGTCGTCATGCACGTCTGCACTAGCGGCTCGATGTCGTCCTTCGAAAAGTCCCACTTTGTCGCGATGGCCTCCAGGTTGGCAATGGCCACGCGGCAGGCCATCTCGTAGCCCTCGGCCACGCGCAGAGGGTGGATGCCCATGTCCAGCAGCGCCTCGGCGTGCTCCAGCAGGGCGCCTGGCGGTTGGTGGTCGGCGGTTGAAAATGGAGATGTTTGTGTGTTATGGGAAGGGGTAAGATTGGGGGCGGCTGGCGAGGCGCTTCCGAAGGGGACGAGGAATGCAAAGAGGGGCCCAACAGCAGAGAGGTGGAATCAAGGATCGCAGGAAGTTTGCAGGCTCAAACTTTGTCGGCGGATGGGCCGGAAACACCATAGCCGCCCCCCCATCGCTCCTATGAGGCTGCATTCGCCCCCTCGCAAACCAGCACAACCGCCCTGATGGGGCTGGCCCCTGACCTGCCCCAACCGCCCCCTTGCACTCCAATCCCTCGCGGCCCCGCGCCCTGCCCCTCCCCCATGCCACCCAGCTAGCACACACGTCCCCCGTTGATGCCCGCCCATCGCCTGCCCTCTCCACTCAACCCCTGAACACGCCCGCCTCCCCGCCTCTCATGCCCCCCCCCCTGGTGCTGATCACCTCGCCATCTCCACCCCTCCCCTCCACACACACGCCACAAACCCTCCCTCTCCCTGTTCTCTCCCCCATCCTCACAGGCCAGCACTACCGCCCCTGCAGTTCTGATCGCCTCGCCTGCCCCCTGCACCTCCAGAAAAATCCTCCCTCTACCTATCCCCGGCCCCCACTCACCGGCCAGCACGACAACCCCTGTGGTGCCGTCCCCAATCTCCTGGTCCTGGCTCTTACTCAGCTCCACCAGCAGCTTCCCAATCTGGTTCTCAACCTCCATCTGCTCCAGAATGGTCGCGCCGTCGTTGGCTGGGGGAAACGGCACGGTGGCAAGGGGAGGGGTATTGGCGAGGGTGGCGTGGTGGCGCGGGATGAGGGAGAAAGGCGGGGTGCAGGCGGGAAGGCGCCGCGGCGCAGCGTGTTGGGGCTCTGCGCCAAGGGGGGGCCGCAGGCCGCAGCAGCCTGGAGGATGGCTGGAGGTGCGGATCATGGCAAAACTTGCCGCCAAGCCCCGGCCCTGCAGCCCTCGACACCGCCGTTTCGCCGGCTGCGTGGGCCGCGCCCGCCCAGCACGCACGCACGCAGCCACCGGCAGCGGCCCACTCTGCCCGCCGCGTCGCTGCCCAGCTTATGTTGGTTACGCAGATGCACAAACATATGCATCTTCATATCAACTACACACGCTGAGAGCCCTCACACATGCGCCCGCGGCCGCCCCTGTCAAAGCACATAAGGCTGAGGCGTACGCCGCTCACTGATGGTCACGTCGCCGTCTGGGCTCTGGAGCATCTTGTCCATGCCCTTGGGGCCCAGCGACGACCGCAGCGTGCGCGAGACCGTCTTCGCCGCCAGGATGTTGGCCTTGACGGCCTCGACGCCGCGGATGCGCGACTTGCGCTCTTGCTCCTGCGCGCCGCCGGCGGCGCGCGCGGCGGGGCGGAGGGGTGGGATGGGAAGCGTAGGTTTTAGGGGGTGGGGGCTGGGCGATGAGAGGGGCGCGGGATGGGTGGTGCTAAGAGATGTCTTCTTGTTGGGGTGGACGGAACGCCAGTGGCTTTGACCTTGGGGCGGCTGCCAGTGACACGACCCAGCATCAAGTCCGGAGGGGAAACCGAGACCTGACTCGCGGCCATGCGCGAACGCGCACCCGCAGGATGATGAAGGGCCGCCCATACTCGTCAAACGCTAGGCTCATGGCTGCTGCGGGTCAGGCCGGCGGCCTTGAGTATGCGCTGCGACGCTCCAGGGGCTGGCTGCACCTGCGTTGAGCGGCACAGGCGGCGCGGCGGCAGCGCACACGGGCGGAAGGCGCCGGGTGAGCCGCCAGCAAGCCGGTGTGGGCTAGATCGCGTGATCGAAAAAATGTAATCACCTGATGTTGCTTTTTGAGGCAGATAATGACGGCCGCGGCCTGGCCGAGCTCCTTCCTTGGCGCGCTCTGCGCTCGGGGCCTCCACAAGGCCGTCCTGCTGTCGCGTGGGTTACAATATGGTGTTTCTGCCGGAAAAATTGTCAACGACAGCGACAGATGTTGGTGAAAGGACTGCGCGCGAAGATCCAGCACGCAGTGATCTGTGTGGCCTCGTTGTTCTAGTCAGTGGGCGCACTCTATAAGTACTAGCACGCTTTGAATCTGGCTAATTCCCCTCACGGCGTCTGGCGGTTCTTTGTGTTAGCAAGGGAAGCTGCACACCGCGACGATCTCAGGATACCGAGCCAGCACGGCCCACGTGGCTCTCATTGTTAGCCATAACTCATAATCTACTTGGTATCAAAGTCAATTAGGCAATCTCGATCGCACGCTGCCCCACACTCGCCGAGTCCTGATCAACACGCCAATTCCTCTCGCCATGCGGCTCTCAAGCGGCAGCCACCGGCTGCAGCGCAGTGACCACGCGTGCAGCGTACCTCAGCGGCCGTCCATCCCGCAGGCGGCGCCACGCTTCGTGGCAGCAGCGGCAGCGGCGGCGCGCGGCCCGGCCTGCGGCGCCACCACCAGCAGCAGCTGCAGCCCCGCCACCGCAGCCACGGCGCCTCCATCCTCTCAGCAGCAGCAGTTCCAGATTTCCAGCCTTCACCAGCAGCAGCAGCACCGGCGGCGGCGGCAGCCCTCGTGGATCGCGCGCGACGCCGCGGCGCTCGCGTCCGCCTCGATCGACGAGGACCTCGGCCCCTCCTCCATCGGCCCCGACGCCGCCCAGATCATCGCCTACGCGATGCAGATCGCGTGGACCGGGGAGACGTACGAGGTGCACGCGTGGATGCTGCTGCTCGGCCTGCTGAAAGACGAGGGCTGCGCCGGCGCCAAGGCGCTGCAGCGCCTGGGCATCACGGACCTCTATGGCGCCTGGCACGAGGTCCTCTGGGCCCTCAACGTCTCAAACGGCCTCGAGCCGCGCGCGGCGTCGGCGCAGCTGAGCTGGGCGCCGGGCGCGTACAAGGTGCTCAACGGCGCGGCCCGCTTCGCCGGCTGGGCGGGGCGCGACAAGGTCGCGTCGCAGGACATCCTGCTCGCCCTTGGCGCGGCCGGCAGCCTGGAGCACCTGTTCCCGGACATCGCCGCCGACTTTGACACCGTGCGGCGCGCGGTGGGGGAGGAGACCGGCGACAGGTACAGGCTGCCCGGGGAGGACCCCAAGGACGCGGCCACCAAGAACCAGGACTTGTTCCTGTGATCTGGAGATCTGGAGATCTGGCAGCAAGGCGCGGCTCAGCGGCTGGCGCCGGGGGCGGCTGGCTGTAGGCGCTGACGGCTTCTGCTAGATGGGGCCCAGCGGCTGCGCGCGGCGGCTGCAGGGGCCAGATGCCCATGTATGCCCGTGCCGCGGTCCTGCGGTGACCGTTCACCCGGGCAAGCTAGGCGATGCGGGGCTTGTGCATGCACCGGGCGCGGTGGGCTTGCTGTGGGCCCCGGCTGCGCCACACTTGGCCAGGATCGTCGGCGGCGCTCGGCGTGGCGCTGAGGCAGCGGTTACAGAGTCGCGTTGCTGCCAGCGGCGAGTGATGCCAAAATGTTTGTTTCTCGCGACAGGTTGTCGGCAAGAGTGTGCAGCACCTCCCTCTGCTGATGTCGTACTGCCACCGCTGCTGCCGCGGCCGCCGGTGCTGCAGGATGATGGCACTTTCTCTGCCTTTGTACACACCCATTGTGGTGCTGTGTTCGTGTAACACTCAAGCATGTGCACGACCAAGCGCCCCATACAGCCCAGAGTGGTGGCAAATCGTGACATAATTATAGCTGTGTGTGTGGTGGTGGGGAGGGGTCAAGGAAATCAACCATCACCATTGATCATTCGGCATCAAAACCCCCAAGACACGAGGAGATGCCTTGATGCAGCGCGCGGCGCGCACGCTGCAGAGATGCTGTCATCAGAAAAATTGCAGCACGCGCTGCAACAAGTAAAATTGAATAACCACGCTTGACAGCGGATCACAACGTGAATCTCAACTTGGAAATGTGGTGCCTGCATTGTGCCTGGACATGAGTGTGTGGGTCGATCCGGAGCCCTGCATTACAGGCTGCAGTCAATTGCTCTTGTCAGTGTTGCGTGGCGGCGGGTAGTCCCCGCGCAGCAGCTTGTGCTCTAGCCCGCCCAGCACCCCCTCAGACACCCGCCATGTCAGCAGCGCGGCCAGCCCAAGCACCAGCGCCCGCAGCATCGCGCCGCCGCCCGCCGCCGCAGCCGCCGCCGCGCCTGTCTGCAAGCCTGCGCCCGCGACCCACCCTGCAGCTGCGAGTGCAGCCGCGCCGAGGCGGCTTAGCGTGGCGCTGGACGCGCCCGTCGCTGCCGCGGAGCCGCCGCCGCCGCCCGCTGCTGCTGCCACGCACACTGCGACCGCGGCCGCCAGCAGCGCGCCCGCTGCGAGCGCGCCTGACACGACGCGGAGCACGCTCCGCCCTGTCTTAACTTGTTTAAGGGCGCGCTGGCACTGGGCGCACGACTGCACGTGTCCGGTGTACCTGATTGGGTTGGATCGCCACATATTCAGATCAGAGTTTGGGCGTGGCTCAGCACCAGGGGCGCCCTTGGTGGTGAGGTGTCACCAGCACATAGATGACATGGGTGACAGCGCGCTCGCCAGCTTGCCTGCCGCATGCCTGCAGTCGCAACAATCGGCACTGGAGGCACCATCACAGCACCCCTGCCGCCACGAGGCGCGCCCCAGCGCCCCACCTGTCCAGCAGAGCCTCTCTGGGCAGCCGCGGCTCAAGTCTTGAGAGGTACGCCGCGTCCGGCGGGCCCCAGGGGCCGCCGCCACCAAAGTCGTCCAGCCAGCGGCGGAAGGCGGTGACGTACGTGTCTGCCTGCATGCCGGAATTATGAGCAGAGCCGGGGGCTGTGAGGGGGAGCAGGTAGCTGAGTTGACCAGGACGACCAACATGCAACACAAAAAAAGAAGAAGAAGGAAGGCCCAGTTGGACCACTATTCCGTCATTTTGTTTTGCAACGAGGCCCCGGCGGCGCCGGCTGTTCAGGCAAGCCCGCTGATCGATTCCCACGCAGGTGATGCATGACACGAAAATGCATAGTGCAGGCTGGCAGGGATGAAGAGACATCAAGCCCCCTGTCAGTATTAGAGCAGAACGACCTGGGCACCCAGCTCATCCACGATGATTCCTGCAGGACTCATCGTGCCCCAGCCCCACCTGGCTAGGCATATAGTAAGCCTTGCCCACGCTCAGCCCCTGGGCCCTGGCTTTGACGTAAGCCTCCTCCCCATAATGCAAGAATATCTGCATAAAAACATTGATGAGAGCCCAGATCAGAGTGAGGGTGGGGCGTGCTCAGCAATGAGCTGGCGCACCCATACATGCGCATGCGCAGCCCCTCATCACCTCTTGCCAAACAACGACACACAGGCGCTCACACTCGTCTTTCTTTTACAACGATTCTTTTAACCAACCTCACATGCCCCCATTGCAAAACACAACACACACACACACACACACACACACACACATACACACACACGCGCGCGCGCATGTGCGCCTACACATGCACTCATGTGGCCCCTTCCCTCCCCACTGGGCCCACCCCCACCTGGTCGTCTTCCAGGGGGATCTGGGTGCCCACATGGACGAGCCACCCGGGAACCATGCGCATGATGGCGCCTGGCAGCTTTGATTTGTGGAACTTGAAGGCGTTGCGGTTGATCAGCCGGCATTTGCCAGGGGATGAGGGGACCGCATACCTGTGGGGGTTGGAAGGCGGTTGGGAGTGTGGAAGGGGTTGAAATGAGGGGCCAGGATGCCGTATCACTGAGGTAGTTGCGCCGTCTTGCGCCAACAAGCGGCTGCCAAAGGTGATGGGAGGGCGCGATGCAACCAGTGTAGGGTCGCGCCACGGCAGAGGAGGGGCAAAGGCGGCTCACACAACGACCAGGGACTCTGCGCCGCGCGTTTTGATCATGTCAATCGTCTGCTGCATGAAGCCGGGCGCACGAAATTCGCCGTACTGCGGGCCCAGGGCGCCAGCCCTGCGCTCAAACGGGTGAGAATGAGGGCGACGCAGGTGGGATGGGCCGATAAGCGTTCTGGCCATGCTGCAACGTGGCAGCGTGCAGCAATGGCAGAGCCCTGCAAACCGGTGGACTTGACTTGTGTTTATGCGCATCAGCAGCCTCTGCTAGCCCCGTTGTCGATCGCCCAGTCAGGACGGGAAGTCAAACCGATGTAAATTGCCAAATCCTAGATTATGCCCAACCACACACACAACCCTCAACAAACCCACCCACCCACCCACCCACCCACCTAGGTCCGCTGGGCCTGATGGGGGAATGCATGAGAGAGGGTTGGGACGAGCACGGTCAGCACGGGTAACAAATTTGCACCAAAGACCTGAGTTTATGCGCTAGAAGGGCTCTGAAATCGCGATTACCAAGGCAAAGCCAAGCCGTGCAACGCCTCAGCATGTCATACCTGTCACATTTCGGCCAGCCCCCAAAAGCATAGGTGGGTGCCGCCCCCAAAACGCGCACCACACGCCCGAAAAGCCGGCGGCGGTGACGGGCTCGGTCAGCTTAGTCACGTAGTCGCCCACGACGGCTCTGTTACTGATAGACTTGTGGTGCGTGAAGGGCACGTGGCTGCGGCGGATTCAGATTCAGGGAGGCGCGAGGGGGCGCGACGTTTGCTTTCGAGTGGCACAAGAGGGGGCGCACAGCAATCGTAGCACGCTGCCGCTTGCAGCCGTTGGCTGCGGTTCCTTGCACATCCCCCAAAGGCACCCCGTGCCAGGTGGATTGGCTGGCATTGTTGGGCTGCATTTCCTCATACACAACATGCTCGTATGCGCACCTGGCGTCAAGCACGTTCTCCAGCAGGGTGCTCCAGTCGTAGGGCACGTCCCTGAACGTGTCCTGCGGCAGGTAGAGGGGCGCCACAGATCAAGATACACAGATCGAGATCCAGCACAGCACATCGCGAAAATTGCTACAGATCCAGCACAGCACGTCGCGACGAATGATAGTGAGCAGTCTGCTCCTTGCCACAGAAACTTGTGGTTTGAAACAGTCGGCCTCCCCGCTCCATCCACACCCAGCCTTGCTCAGCCTCTTGCCCCCCATCTGCTAGGAAACCCCTGCTGCTTGAAAAGCCTCTCCTTGACCCCCAAACAAAGCATGCGGGAGGCTCGGCGGCACCCCGCTGCCCTTATTCCTGCCCAGCTTACCCCCTGACGACACTTCTTCGTGCGTGGTGGTGTTGAATGACTACACACCCAGGGAATACCAAAGGCTTTGAGCCCCCTCACCTGAGACACCCACTCGGGGTCCTCCAGCTGGCGGACTATTTGTATCCGAGTCTCGTCGGCGGGCCCGCCCGCGGCGGCGGTTTTGGGCCGCACGAACAGCAGGCCCTGGCGTACAGCGCAGGGGTAGGCAGTCGCACACGCGCGCGGGCCCGTGTGATCTGCGCCCTGCAGTTGTCGCGAGACGGGCGGGCTGGCGGGCGTAAGTATTGAAAAGCAAAGGGCAGCGTCGCGGCTGGTGGTGTGAGGGGGCAATGGGTTTGTAGAGCTGAAGACAGCTCTTGCAGCCGCCTTCGCTAGGCCTTTGGGGTTGGCCGCGCCTGCACAGCCCCGCGCCTGTCATCCCTGCGGGTGGCTCCATTCCGCTTGGCGGCAGAGGAGCGCCGACAGCGGCGTTGCGGCAAAAAAGGTCTGCCTCGCGCTCGGCTGCCACAGATGTCATAAACAGATCATCAGGACTGTGCGCCACTGGCGCCGCCGCCGCCGCCGCCGCTGCAGCAGCAGCAGCAGCAGCAGCAGCCCGGTGCCAAGCCCCCTGGCAGCCTCTACGGATCAGCGCTCGTCTGCCCGTCTGCTGGCTGCAGGAACCGGAAAACGGCGGCCAGCAGATGCGCCCCAACACACCTGGGGTATGCGCTCGCAGTTGCCCTGACCGCTGAACTCCCAGCCGTGGTAGGGGCACTCCAGCCGGCCGGCGCTGTTGACGCGCCCCTCAGACAGCGGCACCAGGCGGTGGGGGCAGACGTCCAAGAACGCGCGCCACGCGCCGCCGCCGGCGCCGGCGGCGTCCCACCAAATAACCAGGGGCTGGGGAATAGTTGTTGGGTGGGGGGCATGCATGACGCGACACGACACGAAGAAGCGAAGAGGGCGTCGAGTGCGCCTCGGGCCAGGCGGGCGCGCCGCGGAAGCGGCCGGCGCCAGCCGTCTTGCCGCGGACTATCACAACTATGACCGGGTTCCGTGGGACGCCACGTCCTGCCTCTTTGCCTTGCAGTGGCGCGAAAATCGGAATCGAGGGATGAATGTGCGAGGCGGTTGTGATCCCGCACCTGCCCCAGCAGCATGAAGCGGTGCAGCTGCTCCTTGTCCAGGTCAGCAGTAAACGCAACCGGCCACCACTCCGCAAAGTAGTCATAGGACGGCCGCTGCCGTTCGGATTTCGGCGCCGCGTCCAGGCCGCCGCGCTGGTCGACATCTCCGCCGGCGGGCGCGGAGGCGGCGAGCGCCGCGACGTCGCCGCTGATGGCGGGGCGACGCGCAGTCCTGTGGCTGGTGGCGCACGCATGGCGAGCCAGCAGGCTCCTTGCCGGTTGCAACACTGGCGCCTGCGTGCTTCGTTTGTGAATGCGTCTCGATCCGCAGGTGCGCTCCCTCAGTCCAAGCGCGGACATGATTGCGACACAGAACGGCTTCGCACCAAACGGTGAGATCTACGTGATCAGTTGTACGACAACACATGAATAGATTCGCGGATTCAAACTAGACTGCGACCAGCATAGAAGCCGACGGCGCAGTGGCGCCCCGGGCACCAAATCGTGCCACCTGGCGCGGCTTGCCACCTGCCGGCACTACAGTAACTCACTCGCACTTCATCCCACCGCTGCCCAGTGCATTCCGCATGAACGGTCGTAGTAATGGACAAGCCATCTTGGATCAAGTGCGTGCTTGGCTGGAATGCATGCGCAACAGCTGCGCACCCAATGCCCAAGACTGCAACAGGGTGACGAACCAACACACAACAGTTCCAGCAGCTGCAGCAGCTTGACAAATGGCACCCATCGTCGCGTCCCCGCGAGCACATCACGGGCACCTGCCAAGCAGCACGTATCCGATTTTTGTTTGTGATGGTTACCAAAAGCGCAAAACACGCACAGCAGGACGCCTCGCCTGAGGCCGGGCTGTCACCTGGGGCACGCACAGCCAGGCAGGGCAGTGGACACGGTGTGAAGGGCACGCATGCACTGCGCGGACGGGACGCGGCAGTGCTGTCTGGCGGCACCAGATGGAAACCCTGAGTGTCAAATACCCCGGCGCCTGCGGCCAAGAAGCTGGTCGCGAAGTCGCTTCAACGCTCGGGAATCGAATTCCACAGCACTGACTAGGCTGGCTGGCGTGAAAAGCCCCCAAAGCCGGCAAGTGAGCGGCGGCCCGGAAAAGGAAGCGGCAATGCAAGCGCGAGGACGCCGAAGGGGAGTTGAGCAAGTGTATACAGAGCTAATGAGAACCGTTGCGACCAAACAGCCGCCGGGCAGCGGCAGTGCGAAGCGCTGGGGCGCACGGTTCGAGGCGGATTCACAGGTTGGCATTTCAAATCACAAAACGCCTCTGTCGTGTCAACCCCTGTCTCGGCGGCTCCTCCATTGATCCCTGCGCACCGGCCCACCAAAACCCTGCAACACCTGTATGATGAATGAATACGCCTTCAACAAGCAAAACCCGACGAATTCAAACATTCTGACGGACGGTCTGCTGCAAATGTGCATGGGCGCGCGTAAAGTGGCGGCGGCCAATGAGGCCGCAACATCTTGCACGCGACAGGCGCCTGGATGATTGCAGACCTTTCCGGGCTGCAGCGCCACACGTCGCTGCCCCCCCAAAAATAGGCATGTCCCCCTTGTCCCACCCGTGCCCCCACATGTCCCATGACTAATGCTGCGCGGTGCTATCGTCCCGTGAGGCCCTGTGCAGTGTGCCATCGTCCGAAAGACGTCCAACAGGTAGTCCACCAGGCAGTCCAGGTGCTGCCACATCAGGCAGCGCTTGCGCTGGACTGCCCTGGTGCGCAAACACTGAAAGGAAGACGTGCCTACAAGCCTGTGCTCTTGGGGTGTGCGCATGAAGCGATTGGGAAGCGAGGCGGGCTCCTGCTGCCTGGGCAGACGCATGGGACGACGGATTTGGGGTCGGTGATGTTGCGAGCGGTGCGCAGGAAAGCATGCTCCTGCAGTGTGCGCAATGAGTGGGGAGATCGCAGCCTAGAGGCATGAGTGCACGGGGCACCAAACCTCTGGTCCCTATTAAGTCTAGAATGTGTTGAGTGCCTGCTGCCGGCGGCTCTTCAACGGCACCTCTCAAGCCCGACCGTGCTTGCCGGCGGGGCCC